GGGAGCATGTGCTCTCTCCAGTGCGGGCTAAGGTTTCGATGCAGAGAGGCTCTGAAATGAAGGAATGTTGATTTCTTTGGGAATTCCATCCATGGTCTATATTTAACAGGAGCTGGAAAACTTCCCTGTGCCCGGGCTGGCCAGGAAGCCCGGCCTGGTGAGGCCCTCACTGCTGTGACACCCTCAGAGGAGTGGAGAGTTGGGACTGTCCTACTCGCTCAATTCTGGCTCATGACTTGAAATGTTTTCTGTTTGCGTCCCCAGCTGCGTCACTTGGGCTGGTGGGAGTGGCTGGCAGGCAGGCATGAGGCGTGGAGGGTCTGTGGCTGTGGGCCTTTTGCGCGCAGGGCCGCCGAGGAATCAGAATTCGGAACCAGAACGGCCCTCCCGGTGGTCTTTAAGGTGTGCTGTAAAAGGCGGAGGCTGGAACATGTGACAGCCACCTGGAGCACCTTCTGCCTGGTCCCTCTGTGGGAGCAGTGGGAGGTAAATTCCTAAAACCTAAGTCAGAACTTGCCCCCACTGACTGACTACACCCGAACCAAGCCCCAATCTCTTTATCCAAGTCTTAAAGCCTGACCTACCTCTGTAAAGCCTGACCTACCTCTCTCTGATCAGAAAGTCTCGGGCATCATCCTCCGCCCAGACCTCTGGGGTCAAGCTCTCTAGCCTGCCCCCTCAACCCTCCTCTTGGGTCCGGTTCCTGGGACACACCCAACTCTTTCCTGCCTGAGGCCTTTTGCAGTTGATATTCCCTCTGTCTTTCACCACCCCTTTTGGGCTGCCTCCACTTTCTTGTCCTTCGGGTATTGGCTTAAATGTCACCATCAGAAAGGCATTCCCTGACCAGGCAGCGGAAAGCAGCCACCACCCCCACCCCCTACTTTCTTTCCTTTCTCCCTATTTGAATCCCCTGCACTTATACCAGGGGACAGCACACCCTTCTGTAAAGGGCCTGGTGGTCTCTGCTGGGACTCCCATGTATGCAGATACCAGTCGTAAACAGTCATCAGTGAAGGGGTATGGCTGTGTTTCAATAAAACTTTATTTACAAAAACAGGTGGTGGGCCAGCTTTGGCTCATAGGCCATTGCTTGCCAACCCCTAATTCATCCTACTTTGCATTTTTCTTATTTGTTTATTGGCTGCGTCTTGCCTCTTTTGTTCACTGTGATCCCTCTGGTGCCTTGAACAACTTTTGGTATATAGTAGACACTGAATATCTTTTAAATGCACATTATTTGGTAACCGCTTTGCTCTTTGAAGCCCTGGTGAATCTTGGTTTCCAGTGTCTTTTCTTTGAGCAACTTTCCCCCTGGGAATGTAGCTCTCTCCTTCTCCTCAGAAAAGATGACTACACGTCCTCTGATTGACAGGGAAGGGCCTCCTGCAATCTGGGAAAGCCAGATAAGAGCCTGTGCCCCGGCTTTCCGCAAGTGGCAGGATGCAATTAAACCCAGCACTGATGGAGCAGCAACTCTTAATTATGCAAATGCAGCTTCCTTGTGAGTTCTAAATTCTGGGCAAGTTCCCAACTTGGTCCTCTTTTCCAAAATATTCCCGGGCACCTTTCTCATGGTCTAGTCTTTGGGCTTAGGAAAAACAACTACTTTTAACCTCAGTTTGTGGAAATCTGATTAGAAGGACAAACAAATAAAAAATCATCCAACTTCCCAAACCTCCTGAAACTAGTATTTTAAAATCAGGTAAGAATGGGACTTGATCTGTAGTGTTTCTACTCCCCTGGTGTAAACGCTGCCCCTGGGGCTAAGGTCAAGCCTCCAGTGTAGCGGCACCGAACATGTGAATTGGGAGGAGAAGCGGATGGTGGGCCTTCGAGAGGCTCTGGCAGCCCACCGCCCACAAATCGCTTCATGTTGGACTAGGTCAGGGCGGAGCCCATCCAGCTCAGGTCTGAGCTGTGTTCCTCCTTCCCCCTCCCCACCCAGCCTCAGCCTCGCCTGCCCCACTCAGATGCACAGGCTGAAAGCTTCCCTCTCCCGGGGGATCGGCCCCCTGCGCTGTTAAGCATGGAAACATCCTCCCTCTCCTCTGCCTGTTCTCTGCTGCGCCAGGCAGGTCAACCAGAGGACTTTGGTTCTACTTCAGGAACAGAAAGCTCCACGGCTTCCCCAGCCAGCGCTGTTTAAGAATACATTTCTAGGCCTGTCAACTGATTGGAGGTGAGAACACAGGGAGCTTCTCTTTCACTAATTTGGCTCATTTGCAAACCAAATAGAATGACAGAGCCTCTTAAGGCCACGCCCCTGGTGTCCCAGATTCAGATTTCTCCCTGGGAATGTGTTTAGCTTCAAGGGGTAAGTCTTCAGAGGGTGGCACCACCCAGGGGGTGTCAGAGAATGTGTGGAGGCATTTATTATTTTTATTTCTACAACGACTGGAGGAGGGAAGTTGTCACAGGAGAATCTGGATCTTCAAATACTGCAAGGACAGGAAGCCCACACTAGAGTGTGGTCAGAAATGCTTGGCAGCCAATGCCTCCCTTTCTGGCTCCTCAGGAAGCTGAGGTCCAGAGCCCTTTGAGGGAATGGCTATGGTAAACAAGCATGTAGGCCTCCTAGGGCATGGAGTCTGGAACAGTCTGCGGGGAATGGGCCCAGGGTTATCCCGAGGAAGGTGATCCTTGCTGCCCCACAGCGGGTGGGCCCAGTGCAGAGTAGGACCACCCCGGGGGGAGGGGCCCACCGTGGGACACCGACTGCAGACATTTCTATGTCAGGTCTGAGTCTGCGCTCTGCACTTGGTAGCATGTTGCTTCACCAACTTGAGTCTGGTTTCCTGTGAGAACAAGTGAGTAAGGTGAGGAAAGTTTGTATAGGCTGATCTCTTTCTGGAATTTCCAGGACAACGGACAGATAGACTTCCTGCAGCAGCCGCCTGGGAAAGCTCAGTGTTCACTGGTTGCCTGCCCAAGGCCTTTGTGAACAGTTCAGACTCCGAAGCACAAAGGTATGAAAATAGATTATTATTCTCTCCCCCACACCCTAAGGCCAGCTCCAAGCACTGGGGAAAAAAATATTCTCATCTGTGTGTCCCCTTGCCTCCCCGGCCCCTTACCGGGGACCACTATGAAAATGCAACTTTTGGTTGCCGAGAGAGTTAAGACATTTTCACTCCTCCCGCAGACACTTTTCAGTGTATATGGCAGGAGCGCTGTGGGATACCCAAGCTTGTGGGCAATGCCTTTTCAATGAGTGCTTAAATTGAATAAATTATTATTTCCTTTCTACAAAGTTTGTTTTTTGAAAAATTATCACAGGAGATTTGGAAATACAAAATAATGTTTAAAGAAGAAAATGTTAATTACACTAGCAAAATCCAGAAACACCACTGTTATCATTTTCTTTCCAGGCATTTTAGAAAAACATCGGTGGGATTATAATGTGCATGTAATTCATCCTTTGATTTGAAGCCCAGGAACATCCTAAGCATTAAACTCCTGTTACTAAAAACTTCTTTCAAAATATTTTAATGGCTGAAAACCATTCTATCCTATAGCTGTATGACAATTTGCTATCCGTTATTGTTGGTCACCTGATGTTTCTAGTTTTCACTACTCTATAATAAACGACACTGCAATTGTTACTGTCAATATTTAGCTATAAAAGGGGAGCAAAGGGAATGAGACATTGAGCTTAACAAAATGGGGAGCATGAGCCTGCTTGCTTAGCCAGGGAGAGACAGCTTTTCACCATTGCTCCGCCAAGGGGATTAACACTCCTCCCCGCCCTTCCTCACTCTGGTACCAAATTCTTAGGGGGCACAGGGGGAGGTGCTTGACCCTAGAGGCCTGTCAGTCTAGCTGGGGGGTGTAAACCTATCCAAAGCCCATGAAAGACTGGGAAATTCATTGGTCCTTTTGGAAAAGGTTCTGGTCTTTTCAAAGCCTGAGAGACATAATCTCAGGGGAACAAAGAAACTCTCTCTCTCTCTCTTGCTCAAGGCCTGCAGCCCTTGCGCCCCACACTCACATCCTCTCCATCGCCACGTAGCCCTAGCCGCCACGCGGCCCGTGGCTGCGCGGACTCCACACGCAGGCTCCGGGAGGGAGGCTGAACGCTGCAGCACACAGCGGGCGCAGCACAGCAGGGAGCTACAGCTGGAAACACACGCTAAACTAGTGGGGCAGGGACTGAGAATGCTTGGCTGCTCCTGCGGGCTCCAAAGGACTAAGCTTTAATGTGAAACAAAGCTTCTGGCCACTGGCTGTTGTCTTGGCCTTGCTGAGGACAAGGTTAGACTTTTTCCATGGCGGGACAGAGGGAGATGGGACACTGGAAACCAGGGGGCAGCTTCTATTTCCACACAAATAAACCATATTGCCACATCACAATCTCCCGTGCGTGGGTCCTTGGATTGCTTTCCTCGAGATCCTGCGGAAGAGCTTGATTTCCACCTACAACACAATTGACATCTTGGTGCAGAAGGTTGTTCTTTGTTATTTTTTTTTTTTCCCTGTGCTTCTTTCATTTCTTTAGGATAGAGTCCCAGACATAGAGTTCCCAGCTTAAAGGGTCTGACTGTTTTTAAGTCTCTTAACACACATTGCTATGTGTGCTAGAAAGTCCCACCTGCCTGTACTTATTTTTGTCATGTTTCCTGAAACCTCAGAGCAACGATGTTAAATAAACCAGAGAACACATGGCATCTTGAAGCTCAAGGCATTAAGAAGGAAAGGAGCAGAGTCAGCTCTCTTAGTTTCCCTCCACTTTATAGGGAGTAGCTGTTACAGAGAGGGTGGGAGGAGGGAAACCAGGCACAGTAACTGCAAAGAGGCCAAATGGTCTCCAAGTCCAAATACAAAAGAAACAGGACAGGTAGCTGATACATTTATGCACATTGATACGCAAACCACAGGGGAGGGACAGCTGCCTTTCCATACTGCCTGTGAGTCCAAAGCCTCATTCTCAGAGTATACAGGGGAAAAGACACATTTTCATGTGAAAACAGAATTTCAGACCGATAAACTGAATTTCTCACCTTTCGAAGTCTTGCAAGGAGACCTGCTACATGTTCATGCTGTTCCGATCTAGCAAGATCTTCCGCTGTCTTTCCATCCTGTTGGAGAAAAAAGATTAGTTTCTTTCCTTTGCAACAGAGAGCTATGTGTTTCATATACCAGTTCAGTCGTGGGAGGCAGAAACAAGAACAGGAGTCAGAAGCAGAGAAGGAGGACAAGAAAGAGCATATCCTGGCTTATTTCCCTTTCTGTGGAATCCTTATATCATTTGATTATCCAGGAAAGGAGGACAAGAAGCAGGAAAAAATTGTGCATTGGTGTTTTAAAACATTTTAATTTATTGATTGATTTTAGAGGTGGTGGCAGGGAGAGAGAGGAACATCAATTTGTTGTTCCACTTATTAATGCACTCATTGGTTGATTCTTGTATGTTCCCTGACTAGGGACTAAACCTGCAACCTTGGTGTATCCGGACGATGTTCTAACCAACTGAGCTACCTGGCCAGGGCCTTGTTTTGGTGTTTTGGGGTCCAATGTCTCAGGCCCCCAGGCTTTAATCAAACACAGCGCTTCATTAGTGGTCAGATTACTCAGTGAACTGAACCGTTCTCCAATTAAGCAGACAATAAAGACTGTCATTAGATGCCAAATTCTAGTTAGTGCCAGCTAATATCTTAAAATACTTCCAGAGACAAACCTCAGCAATGATACCATGCTAGATACTAGCAATTACTGTGCATTCAAAGGAAAGAAAGGCTTAGTTTAGCAGACAATTTGATCTAAAGAATTTCAGTGAACATAAACGGAGGATGTGGATAAAAAAAGGGCCACATACTAAACCTGACAAGCTCAGGGGAGGCCTTACAAACTCAGAGACCTAAAGTAACCACATAGAATGGTCTGAAATTAAAGCCTCCTAACTAAAGGTGAGTCATGGTGGGTAGTCATGGCCTAGGCCAGCATTATGACAAAGGTCAACTTTCTCTTAACTGAGCCTGTCTATTGTCTTCCTCTGTGATAACGTACCTTCTGAATGTCAGAGTAATTCCCTTTTTCCAGGCCCCAGAGCACAGACCCTAGAACTCATTATTGTTACTGTTATCATGTTAATTGTTAACTGTTAACTATCCTATACCTGCCAATGTATGAGAAGTCCGTGTCTATCCATTTTACTTTTTATCCAATCTCAGAGGTTTCCCCACTTTGCTTTCCCCTGCCTCCTTAATCTATCACCAGCGGATTTCACGTAACCCTCTTATATTTCCCTTTTGATTCTAATGTATACAATAAGGTGCAAAACTGCCATTCTCCAGAGCGTTTTTCTCAGTCGGTTGAGATTTTGCTTCCTGGCAACTATCATCAAGTTTGGCTCAAACAAACTCATTAAAATTCTTAAGGGTTTGGAGGTTTCTTATGTCAACAAGGAAACAGGGTCCATGGCACTTTGTTGTTTCTTTTTAGTTAGAAAATTTCAGGCCTGGCTGGTGTGGCTCAGTGGATTTAGTGCTGGCCTGCAAACCAAAAGGTCGCTGGTTCAATTCCCAGTTGGGGCACATGCCCAGTTGGGGGCGTGCAAGAAGCATCCTATCAATGTAGCTCTCACACATCGGTGTTTCTCTTTCTTTCTTTCTCCCTCCCTTCCTCTCTCTCTAAATAAAAAGATAAAATCTTCATAGGGTTGCAGTTTCATACTAAACAAATTCATTTCTGTTTCTAAATCATGAATGTGCATCTTCCTGGATCTACCAGCAAAACAGGCTGAGGATGTTCAGTGACAAACCTTACTCTCCACCATTAAGCCTCTCAACTGACAGAAAAACAATCACCAACAACAGTCCTTACATTTGCACTGAGCTTTACGCTTTGCAAAACACACTACTCTAAAGGACATTCTTCAGGCTTCCAAGAGAAATGACTGCCAAAGCCACATGATAAGTATAATCCTTGGAGTTAGGAGGACCCGGGTTTAAGTCCTGACTGCACCTCACCAGCTATGTGGTCAGTCACTCGGGTCCCCGGAGTCTGGGTTTCTTTATCGGCAAGATGGGGACAGATGCCCACACTGCACAGGGTTTGGAGCAGATCAGAGAAAACCAAATGGGAAGAGCCAACAAAGTACCAGGCAGAGGCAAAGCAAGCCGTGGTGATTATTAATAAAAGAGTTGGGAATTCTTCTAAATTCCCTGGTTTCTGCCCAAGAGGGAAAGAGGCAGGAAATGGATCTCTGTCATGTCCCCCTGAGCAAGGTGCTAACTCCCGGGGCCGCCTGGCCCTTGAGCGATCCCAACCCTCACTGCCCTCGCTGTTACACACAGTGGTCCGGGAAGAGTCCCTGGGAAGGTGATATTTGAGTCAAAATCTGAACAAGGAGGTGAGAGACCAAGCCATTTGCAAGCCTGGAGGACGCCCTGCACTTGCTGTGTGAATAACTGGCATGTTTGAAGTTGTGGCTGGTGCAGAAGGAACAAGGGGAGGAGGAGCAAGAAACGGGATCAGGGAGGACCCCCGGCAGTCGTCAGGTGTTGTGCCCTGAGGGAGGGTCAGAGAGGCAGGACACGGTCTGACTTAGGTTTGAATAAGGTCACACAGCCTGCTGTGTGAGGGACAGACCACGGATAGGTGAGGGTGGAAGGAGGGAGACCAGGACAAAGTACAGTGATCACGGCCAAGGGCTCACAGTCTTGAGGGAGACTCAACAGTCAATTCCATCAGAGCAAGAAACATGGGCAAATCACACCCACTGACAGGGGCTGAAAAAAGAGGCGGCTTCCTGGGCTCCGGTGGAATACAGGAAGACGAGAGGCATTTGTGTCCTGAAATCTTCCGGCCACTAGTATCATCCACTACTGTGTGCTTAGGCACCTGTTGTTCAGCATTAAAAGTCTCCCACTTTAAAGGCTGCGGCACATCATGCTGCCTCACGGTCTGTGTGCATGCGCACGGGAGGGCCTTATTTGCCGGGGATGGAGGGGGTGGAAATAGGCCGTTCAGAGGGAATGAACAGCATGTGACAATTTGATAAGCTGGGAGCAAGCGAGGGGCTTCCCAGGACCAAGGGCCTGCAAATAGCTCCATTCTTGAGGAGGTACAGGGGTGAAGGGTGAAGCTGGGCAGCGGGCAGGGGGCTGGCCTTGGGGGTCACATTCTGAAGACCATCCCCAGAATGACATAAAATCAGAGCACATTGCAGATTATCTTTCTCAGAACAATATATATGGTGGCAGAATGTAACTGTCATTGTAGCCACGAGGCTACAGTCAGAGGACCAGTTCTGAGGGTGAGTTGGTCCTCGGGGGAACACACAACGAGGTCCTTAACCAGGTGGAGGCAAGGGATGGAGAGCTGGGAGTTCCAGAAGATTCCGGGTCATGGTCACTGGTACAATGCCGGGAAAGGGGCTTCCACGCTTCTGGACAGGCACCTGGACGCACGCTGAAGCCCGTGGCAAAGGTCCGACACTGGGGGAGAAGAGAGCAACCCGGAGGGAGAGGACAGTACACGGAGGCTGTGTCGGAGTGTGGCACTTGGGGGGCAGGTGAGGCTAGTTCAGGTGCAGCCCTGGGGCTGGTGAGAGGCTCAAGGGACAGAGAACGGGAGGCAGCTGGCCAGCCAGGATGGGACAGCTGCAAGAGGGCGTGGAGCTGGAGGGGGCGAAGGGAGGCAGGAGAAGCTGAGCAGGTAGGGTTTTCTCATCCAAGGCAGGGGAGTCTCAAGAAAGTGTGAAGTCCTGGGGAGGTAACTAGTGAAAGAAGATTTACAGGAGCTGTTGGCACTTGGGTGAGAAAGACAATAACGGAAGGCAAGGAGGTGATTACTACAAAAGGCAGGGTGGGGGCTACTCTGGGGGCCGGGAGAGGGGTCCGTAGCGAAAGGCCTCAGAAGTTCTATTTTTTGATTGAGCGGTGTTACAAAGGTGTTTGTCTTAATCATCAAGCTTCACTTTTTTTTTTGTTCATATGCTTTCTTAAAACTTATGTTTTACGGAAGACGTTTTAAAGAAGAGAGCTACCAGGAGGTGACTGGGGACCCTGCTGAGAGCCACAAGAAGTTGAGAGACTGGATGGTGGACGAGGGGCAGAAGACAAGAACAAGGAGAGGACAGGACCTTCAGAGGACTTTTTCAAGTTATCCTGGCTGGGAACAGAATGGGAGGCAAAAGATAACACTAGAGGGCGCTGCAAGGTCAAGGGCTCTGGGGAAGGCTGGGAAGAATGGCTCCTGCTCAGGCATCTAGGAGAGGAGCCTGCAGAGGAAACAGTTTGCTCTGTGCTGTCCCCACACGAGGCTACTCAGTGCCGGACTTGTGGCTGATGTAAGATGTGCTCTGGGTGTAAAACACACACAGAATTTTATCTTTTTATCTTAATTTTTTTTAAAAAAACTGATTTTAGAGAGAGAGGAAGAGGGGGGAGAGAGTGAGAGAGAGAAACACTGATTTGTTGTCCTACTTATCTATGCATTCATTGGTTGATTCTTGTATGTGCCCTGACTGGGGATCAAACCCCCAACTCTGGCTTATCGGGTTGATACTCTCACCAACTGAGCTACCCAGCCAGGGCACATGCTGGATTTTGAAGACTGTATAAACCAAAGAATGAGAAATATCTCAGTAATTTGAAAATACTAATTACAGGTTTAAATGATAATATTTTGCATATCTTGTGCTAAATAAAATATATTACTAAAATTAATTTCTTTTCCTTTTTAGATGTGGCTACTAGACTAGCGAGAATGACATATGTGGTATGTATTACTGTTCCACTGGAGATGTCTTCAGCAGGGAGCATGGAGTCTCAAGGATCACACTGCCCCCCTACTCGAAACCCTGGTGAAGCAGCAAGTGTTAGATGCTGTTGCAAGTGCCCTGACTGGGTGGTTCAGTTGCTTGGAGTGTTGTTCCGTACACCAAAAAGTTGAGGGTTCGATTCCCAGTTAGGGCACATACTGAGGTTGTGGGTTCCCTCCTTGGTTGGAGGGGAGGCAAAGATTGATGTTCCTCTCTTATATCAATGTTTCTCCCTCCCTCTCTCTCTCTAAGCAATAAAAACATATCCTTGAAGGAGGATTAAAAAAAAAGAAAAGCTGTAGCAAGTTCTCCAGAAGATCTAGCTAGGATAATGAGTGAAGGTGGCTACGCTAAACAATAGATTTTCAATGCAGATGAAACAAGCTTCTATTGGAAGAAGATGTCACCTAGAGCTTTCCTAGCCAGAGAGAAGTCAATGCCTGGCTTCAAAGCTTCACAGAACAGGCTGATTCCTTTGTTGGGGGTTAATGCAGCTGGTGACTTTAAGTGGAGGCCAGTGCTCATACATTTCAAAAACCCTAGGGCTCTTAAGAAATATGGTAAATCTACTCTGCTTGTCCTCTATAAACAGAACAACAGAGCCCGGGTGACAGCACATCTCTTTACAACACAGTTTTAAGCCCACCGTTGAGACCTTTTGCTGAGAAAAAAAGATTCCTTTCAAAATATTACTGCTCATTAATGATGCACCTGGTTGGTGTCCCAAGAGTTCTGATGGAGATGTACAAGACTCACGTTTTCATGCTTGCTAACACAGCATTCATTCTGCAGCCCATGGATCCAGGAGTAATTTTAATACTTAAGTCTTATTATTTAAGAAACACATTTTAAAAGGGTATATGGCTGCCATAGATAGTGATTCTTCTGATGGATCTGGGCAAGGTAAGTTGAAAACCTTCTGGAAAGGATTCACCATGCAAGATGCCACTAAGTATAGTTGTAATTCATGGGAAGAGGTCAAAATATCAGCATCAACAGGAGTTTGGAAGCCGATTTCAACTCAACCCTCATGGATGATTTGAGGGGTTCAAGACTTCAGTGGAGTAAGTAAGCAAGAGAACCAGAATTAGAAGTGGAGCCTGAAGATGTGACTGAATTGCTGCCATCTCATGACACAATGAATGGATGAGGAGTTGCTTCTTATGGATGGTCAAAGAAACTGGTTCCTTGAGAGGGAAATCTACTCCTGAAGATGCTGTGAAGATTGTTGAAATGACAACAAAGGATTTAGAATATTGCATAAACTTAGGTGATAAAACAGTGGCAGGGTTTAGGAGGATTGACTCCCATTTTGAAAGAAGTTCTATTGTGGGTAAAATGCTATCAGACGGTATCACATGCTACACAGAAATAGTGAAAGGAAGAGCCAATCCATGCAGCAAACCTCAAGGTTGTCTCATTTTAAGAAATTGCCACAGCCACCCCAACCTTTAGCAGCCACCTCCCTGAGGGGTCAGCAGCTGTCAACCTCGAGGCAAGACCCTCCACCAGCAAAAAGTTTACCAACACTCTGAAAGCTCAGGTAATGGTGAGCACGTTTTAGCAATAAATAATTTTTAATTAAGGTACATACAGTGTTTTTTGTAGACATAATTCCATTGCACTCTTAATAGACTACAGTGTAGTACAAACAATTTTTATATGTGCTGGGAAGCCAAAAAATTTGTGGGACTTGCTTTAGTATTTGCTTTATTGCCGTGGTCTGGAACTGAACCTGCAACATCTCCAAGGCATGCCTGTAACCTAGACCAGGGGTCAGCGAACACTTTATGTAAAGGACCAGGGAGTAGATATTTTGGACTCTGTGGGTCATAGGGTCTCTGTCACAACCTCTCACCCCTGCCCTTGTAGTGTGAAAGCAGCCACAGGCAGTACAAAAACAGCAAGCATGGCTGTGTCCCAGTAAAACCTCATTTACAAAACCGGGCAGCAGCTGGATTTGGCCCGTGAACCCAAGTTTGTCAGCCTCTTTATGATTCCAAGAAACTGCTTCCAGCCTCAGCACCCTGATTCCCTCCAGGTTAGTCACCGTATTTTAAAACTCCAATGGATCTCCTTAGAAAAACACTTTATGTCAGCAAAGCACTAGTGAGTTTCAGGAATCTCCCACATGAGAGAAGGAGGGGCGGGTACAGGATCAACCCACTGTCGGGCCAGAAGCAACTCAAATGATAATACACTGCAGTGGACGACGGTAACCCTATCTCATTAACTGCCCTGTTTTCTGCTTTGGTATTTCATGAAATGTGAATCAAAGGGCTTCTACTGCAGGGAGGTACCAGGCCCAGAATGAGGAGTAGGGAGTAAAGGCAACTGAAGAAATCTCACTTAAAAATAACCTACAGGCCTAACAGCAAAGCCAGACTTTCAAACAAGAGACAGAAGCTCTTATGAACTGTTCCCCACACACTCAGGCCCCCCCAACTTGCTCCTCCTCCTCCTCCTCCTCCTCCTCCTCCCCTGAAGCCCATGGCGCCTCCAGCACCCTGCACCAACAGGGAGCATTTAGGAAAGGAGAACACACACATCTAATAAAACAGGCAAAGGCACAGTTGTGTAACATGGGGAACAAAAGGCCAGTGGGAACAGCAGGCATTCCCCGGCAGCGCGGGTCTGGAGAGGAGGAGGATGAAGCAGTAATTAGATAGCGCCCTGGGTTTGTGTGGGCAAATGTTCGTGGCAGTGCAGCGGAGGGGCTTTGGAACGCAGCTGCCAACAATACCTTTCCCCGTAGGCCTATGACGTTTTCAATCGCTCTCTCCTGCGAGGAGGCTACTCACCGAGGTCAGCGCCTCCACGTTGGCGCCTGTCAGGCAGAGGTAGCGGACCACGTCAAGAATCCCGTTGTTGGCTGCAAGGTGCAGAGGTGTTCGTCCATACTGGAAGAGACAAAAAGACCCAAGAGAGTGCTTCTCACCATCGTGCCTGAGGATAATATTTATGGAGTCTACCCTATAGGGCCAGCATTGTGTGGGGAATCTGGGAAAGAAAGAGGAGGTGTGGTCTGCCTTCTCTAGGAACTCACTGTCTCCTGAGGGAGGCAAACCAAGCAGAATCTTTTCAAGTATTTTTCAGTTAAAAGAGTAACTTCAAAATAAAACTTCAGAAGATGAGAGTGGGAGGCTTATGATAAGGTAATTAAGTCTCTTGCTGTGATGGCATAAAGAAGATTTGAGTCAGGGCTTTAGGGCTGGCCCCAAGGTTCCAGAAAGATCTGCATCACACTTCAAATTTAGACACAGCAATGGGAAGAAGGGATGGAAGGACAGCCATTGAAGACATTCTAATGAAGTGAAACTCCAAGGCCATGCCCACCACTTTTTTTTAGGCCTATGGTTCCCAAACTGTGTGCCAAGGCACCTCAGGGCACTGCAGTAAATTCACAGGGGCATGATAAGTATTTTAAATTCTTGATGAAACTGGCAGGTTCGGATACCAGGTAAACTACTAGCTCCAGGTAGTTCAGAGTATCGACATTAGATTGCGCTATCTTCCCTTCGATGATGGCATGCCTGCACAGCGGGGGTTTGGCTGTTGCTGTGATAAGAAGAAAGTATCTTGAGAAAATTAATGGAGAACAAGCAGCAAGGGTTGCGGCGTTCAAGCTGAGTCCAAGGTCTGAGGAGCAGTGAGGTGCCAATGAGCACACACATCCCATTACTACCTAATTGTGGTTATGTAAGAATGAAATTAAAATATTAATTTTCTTCTAATTTATGTGGATCATTTATTGCAACAGCTACTAATTTGTTAGGTTATAAATTCTCACTAAGTTGCTTAGGCTGAGCTACTTAAAAACAGAACCGTTAGTTATTTCTGTCGCCCTGGGGGAACCTTGAAAAAATTACTGAGACACTACAGATGCTGGGAACCAAGACAGTTTGAGTATCTGTTTTATGCTGTTTATGTGCAAATACAGGTTTTTGTTATGAAGTTAACACAGGCTCAGAGAAAGATAAATGGTAGAAAATAGAAATCCTCCTCCGCTGCCTTCCCCCTCCACACAGGTTCCCCCCTCAGAGATAGCCCTACTTAACACTTTGGGGCATTTCCTTCCAAGCTTTTATCTGTGAATCCATAAAAGGAGATAATTTGAAAAATCAAGATGTAATCATACTCCAATCCTATGCTGTCACTTGTTTCACTCACCTAACAATAGATTGCGAATACTTCTCCATGTCTGTAACTAAATTGACTACATTTTTTCAGATAACCAAATGATATCCATTATATGGATATGTCCTAGTTTTCAGCCAGTCTGCTGAGGGTGGCCACTTAAGGTGGTTCCATTCCCTGTCATTATAAATAATTCTGCAAGGTGTGTACAGATTTATGTTTTGTCTGTTATCTTCTGGAGTGACTTAGAAGGCAGATATTAAGCTTTCAAATGCCCTACAGCATTTGTCAGCTATAGGGGCATTCAGACAGCCTCCAAACATACACACGTTTCCCTTGGTTTGCAATAGTTTCCTGTCTTCTTCATCTGTCCAAGTCCCAATTATTTTAAATGGTTGCCTCTGAAAAGCTTTCCCTAGTTTCTTTAATGTCCAGATGTCAGTGTTTCCATAGCACCTGTGCATCTGTCACAGCTGTGTTCACCACATGAGATGCTATTGTATTGAGACGCAGCCTGAGGGCAAGAACCACCCACCCTGCTGTCCACAAGCTCCTTCCCATGTGCTTGGTTGGCACAGTGCTGTCAGGCAGGGCACGGAATTCTCTCTCTTGCTCCTGGATGTACACGTGTGTGCATCTGGGTGTACACGTGCTTGGGTATAACACTCTTTCTCTATCTTTGCTGATGAGAAGAGTCAACACAAAAGGAACAATGCGTTAAGGGCTGTGTGCTCCATGTCATCTATTTCTTCTCCTCTCATGTGTTCTCTAACATGGCCAAGTTCAATAGTCACTCTCTTGATTTTCACATGAGACAAGGGAAGACTGAGCAAGGTCTGTTACACTGCAATGAGTGTCGAAGAGTGGCAAGTTCGTGTCACATCCTGGTGATAGGGACAGGATCTGAATGGCTATGTTTATCTCTGGGGGCACTGAATCCAGGTAAGGAAAAAGCAAAAAGCACAGCATGGGAAGGAGGGACAGTCTGCCTGTGGGGCGTGGGCTGTCCCTGTGCTGGGTCCATCTGACAGCCAGTTACTCGGGGGAGTCCATGTAAACCCAGCTGTGCTTTCTGGGGAAATAATGTCTCCCTCTTTACTTTTCTGCACATCTTTGAAGTTCCTCTAGACCCCTATTATCTTTCCTAACAACAACAAGAAAAAAGCTGACACCAACCCTTCCAAAGAAGGTGAGAGACCCAGAGTCGCTGTGGGCTGAGCCTCTGAGCACTGGGAGGCAGCCGGAGGGAGGGGTTGTCTGCAGGGCCAAGAACCCGGAGCTGCTCAGTAGCTGCCTGCTGAACTGGCAGGTTCTGAAGAATGGTCTCAACTTTGCTGCTGATTCTAAGAGGCTGAAATTGTGAAACTAATGAGTTTTCCTCCAGCTGAGCTCAATTCAATGACAAAATTATCTATTGGATGCATTCTATGTTGGTGTATATGAACTACCATGGTCATCTACAGTATCAAAAATGTAGAGGCTTCCTAATAAGTTCAATTAAAAAAAAAGTTCCCATTAAATGAGCCTGTTGTTTTTCAACATGAAAGTCTAGGACTACGTTGCGGGATATTTTAGGGAGCATATTTAACAAGTGCATTTTGTTTGCATCTAGGCATGAGGGGAACACCCAGTCCCTTGTTTAGGTTAGTGCAAAACAGCATGAGACACGGTGCTTCTTCTCACCTCAGCAGAGCACGCAATGGCCAAATCTAAATATTCAAATGAGGGCTACAACGTTCCTTGAAGCAGTTTCTTATTCATTTAAAGACTCCTAGAAGGAAAGCCAAGCTCTTGATGATTCTTAATATTACATTTGGCTTTCCCCTTAAGCCACTTACATAACTGATTTGGCAAGATTAGAATGGGATAAACTAAGAGAGCAACCAGCAGCTAATGGCTAAGACCAAGGATATTGGCTATTCATTTTTCTAGAATGTGAAGATTACCAATTTCGATTTCCATTAGAATTAATCGCATAATGTGCAACAGGAATAATTTTTTGGTAGAAGTAAAATTTTCCAGCTGTTTCAGATATCAATTCTTTTACTTCAAACAAATCATCATAAAATTTTGCTGGTAACATGCCTGCCATTTATTAAAAACATTTCCCACAATTACTAAAAATAATGTTAGCTGGACTTTGTTTTAACATAATGGTTATAGAGTAGTGATTGCCTTTCATACAGTTACAGAGTCAAAACCACATGAATAGTCAACTTTTACCTTATCCGGTAATGAAAATCTAGATGGTATTTAGGGAAAGGGAAGGTGTTAGCTACCTTCTAGAAGTCAACATGATGAGATGTAAAAAGAACATGGAATTATTTATTTTCATTTCTTTTTTATTCACCAAATAATAGTATTCTCTTTGTTCTTACAAAGTTTATTTAGCACAAAAAAGGTGTAATAAACTTTTGACCATCAAACTCTCAAAGGGGGAAAGCTAAGAAGAGAAGTCTGGTCCTAGGAATTTCAATCAAATCATAACTCATTAGGTGTTTCCTGAAGACTTAGAGCTCCAAAAAGAGGCCCCAATTTGTACAATTCTCTGATTCCTCTACAGGTGGGCAGTGTCTGTCTGTCTGTCTGGCTGCCTCTCAATATCCATAAGTAGTAAACCAGGCTAGGAAGGAAGTACTTATTAATGTAATCATCTTCTGTTACAAAATTATTCAAAAGTCACATGTAAGATATGACCTAAAGTAGAGAGTCCTATAAAAAAGAACAGGTGCATATGAATACCTGTTCTCCATATGAACCATGGAGAGATGCAAAGAGAAACTTGGACAGAATCAGAAGCAGGTCAACAGACATTGGCCCTTCAGGGATCTTTCCCTCCAGCTTTACCTTGTTTGAGATATCCAAATTGCACTTGGCTTCACAGAGGGCCACCACAATAGGCACATTGCCATCTTTGCAGGCTACATGGAGCGGGGTATTGCCGTGCCTGTCTTGGAAATCGACGAAACACCCCTGGCTGATGAGAGTCTGGATGACCTCCATCTGACATCGTCTTACGGCAAGATGAAGCGCGATGTGTCCATCCTGAAACAGACACCCGGGGCCGTGAGCACTTTCACTTTAGGTACCTGGCCTCAACTCTCCAGCTGCCATTGGACCAGGTTTAACTGGCAACAGGATCCCTGCTGCAAAGACTGAAGGAGGATTAAGAAACCACAAACTTTACTTCTGGAGTGGGGAGAGGCTCCATACATTCCACTATGAATAATCAGACTATGCTCACCATCAGCATGATTAATCTACGCTTGGCCATTCTTATTGGACATTGGGCAGAAAGACTTGACACTTCTTTTTGTCTCTGAATATATAGGCTTAAGGAATTGTTGATACTCCAATGGTCTGTTTTATTCAGTAGGTGGAAAATACTTTTCAAAAACATTTGCTCAGCAATCTTTACACCAGGAGCAACTGAGAAAGCGACGTGAAGTAATTTGCTCGAGGGCTATGAAAAGCAAATATAACATTCTTAACCTCTGTATCTCACTAAAGGCCAGTCTGAGAATTCCTCCTACCTATTATAGAATCCCCCGTGAACAGATGGCTTGAGTTTCAGGAGCTGGGTAGAGGGTTTGGAAACATTTCTGTAACTTATCTGTTGTTGAGTTTCTTAATCTCAGCATATTGACAGTTTGGTGCTGTCCTGAGGGTTTGTAGGATATAAGCAGCACCACTGGTCTATATCTACTAGATGCCAATAGTAATGCCCGCCCATGGTGTGACAACCAACAAACGTCTCTACCTGTTACCAAATGTCCCCTGGGGGCAAGATCACCCCTAGTTAAGAACCACTTCTCTGTACCATGAAAATGCTCACAAATGGCAGTTACTAAGTTAACTACAGTGTCCAAATCTGACTGTATATGTCAACATCACAGCCTCATTTTAAGTACAAGTTAACAATAAAAACAGATTATGTTGAACTTGCTCAATTAAAAAAGGAATACCTGGTCTAGAATAGAGAAATAAGAGTGGTTTATTGTCTTTCTAGAAAATAGGTGACGGAAATAAATAAACCACCTATTTCTTTTGTTTATCTACAAATTAATAGTGTGTTGCCAATTTTAGTCCTAAATGAGTATTGTCTTGGGCTCAGCCATCATCGTTGTACCTGCTCCAAGTTAAAAAGGGTAAAAATAAAAGAGACCTGAGTAATGTGGTCAATTCATAAATTCTGCTACATGCCACGAATAAATATTAATTATTAAACAGAATCTAGAAAAGTTCAGTCCCTCTAGCCCCCCAGGTCTCTTCTCAGTGCGTTTGATACATTCACCGACAAAGTACCTTGTCAGAGGCATTAAGGTCGGCTCCGTGTTCAGCCAGACACTCTACGATGTCGTGGTAGCCCCTGGCAGAGGCTGTCAGGAGGGGCGTCTCCCCTTCTCGGTTCTTAACGTTCACGTTGCAGCCAGCTTCACAAAGGGCTTTGGCCACAGAGTAATAGCCATGCCAGGCAGCGCAGTGCAGGGGGGTTTCTTCTTCCTGGTCGAGGAGACAAGTGCGTAGAGGAGGAGATTGCAGTAACGTCATCAGACTCCTGCTGAATTTGGCAGCAAAGTCAAGGCAACGGAGAGAATGAGCTAATGGCTATTGGGGTGAAATATTTATCTGAAGTAATAGAGATGGGCCTCCGCTTCATTAGTTTTCTTTCTCAGTACTTGTGCGTTGGGTGAATCTGGCATTCTCAGCATATGAGTGGTAACTGACTTTTGGGAACCCACTGAAACCAACAGCTCAGCTCTTTTGAACGATACAGCCCTAGTGTAGGTGAATTTTTAGCATCTTTCTTATAAAAGTGCCTTCGTTTACTTCATCTGAGATTACTAACAGGAGAGCACTTCTTTGAACAAGAATTCTTCTAACAATCTTGATGCCTCACATTTCTGTCATGCATATAACAAAGATGAGTCACATAGATGTATTATTGCTGTGGCAAATAGAATAACCATACTTTAGTAAGTCAAGGAAAGGGTTTGCCATAAGGGCTATAGGGTTGTAAGGCTATGTATTCATAGTCGACATCATTAGACACACATGTCCATCTGTGAAAGACCATTCTGGTGTTGTGGTTACTGACAGGGACTCTGGAACCAGACTGTGTCGTTTCAAATCCCAAACCCCAGCTTCACCACTTATGAACTGTATGAACTCGGGCCAAGATACTGAACATTTCCCTGCCTCAGTTTCCTCTTCTGTAAAATGAGAATGATAGTAATAGTAATCCACCTCACAGGTTGTCCAGGGGATTAAATAAATGAATGAATAAATTAAATACATACATACATACATACATACATACATACATATATACATAATGCTTCTATGTGAGGCTCTGCCCTATGGAATCTAAGCAGAAACTTGGACAAAACTCAGAGGACTGAGCCATATTGCTATCTGCCTGTGTATCCATGGAGACAGCAGAAGGAAGAGAAGGCACCAGCCACCATGACCCACCTTGTCCTGGAAATTGGGATTGGAGCCAAAGTTGCACAGTAACTGAACCACGTCGGCATGGCCGTAGCGAGCTGCCACGTGAAGGGCTGTCTCCCCAGACTGCAAAAGAAACAGCCCAAGATTCAGAGCGCCCCTGGGAGCAGGCCGTGGGGATTAGAACGCACAGGACCAGAGGCCCACTCCACACACACCTGGCTCCATATCCTCCCCACGGGGGGTGCCCACCCTTCTCCATCCAGATGCCTCTCTGGTGATGGGGCCAGGAACCCCGGGGCGGAGTGCCCATAGCTAGTGGTAAACCCGAACACCTGGCTCCTCCTGTTTGTCATAAACCCCCCAGGAGAGAATGCGTTCCCTGGTCTGCGATGGCTGTTTTCAAATTTCTTTGTCTACTGATGCTCTATGTGATTTCTTTAAACACACAACTCCCTCTTTTAACAAAAGGTTCATCATACAGCAGATATTTAAATGTATAGTTTTATTTATTAACACGTTTCAGATTTCACTGCCTATGTTTAGAATCTCATTTCTTATATTCTCATCACTATTTAGCCCATATAATAATTTTCAGTGAAGGAAGTAATTTTCAGTAATTTTAAGGAAGCAACTTTCTTCAGGTATTTTCCTTATATCTGCCAAAAAATTACCAGAATAGACCGATTAAAACAAAGCAAAACGAAATATTGCCACCTGACAGAAAACTGCCATCATAAATTCGCGTGTCTTTGATATGTCATTCTTAGCTATGGTGCAGTGCACAATCCATACAACTGCATGTGACAGCTCTGACAAACATGACAAATTATTCGGCAGGTGTTAGGAGCAGAGAAGGGCTGCACAGTAGAATCCATAATGGACGAGAAGGATGAGAATCCCCGGAACAGGTGCAGGACTGGGGTATGGAGTGAATGAAACATAAATGTGAAGGTAAGGTATCTTGCTAAGTCAATAATTTTTATAACACCTTCGCCCCTCAAAGCCTTATTTTACACGCATTGTCTCATTAATCCTTCTCGTGCCAGTGATTGTAAGGTCAGCACTGTCGGCCACTTCAAAGATGCAGAGTATGGTAAAGAGACATGCACATGGTGAGTCAATGCGAGGATCAGGACTGGGGTCTCTTTCTGGTTGTCTTTCCACTAGAACTTTGAGTTTTCATGTTATTCATGCAAGGCAATTTACTGCTTCCATGTCGTGGCAACTAGCTGGCAGATTTCAGCTAAAAGCAGATTTCAATATTAGAGCAAGCCACCAGGAAAAACAAATTTCTACATTAAATTCTCCATAGGAAGATTTTAGTCCCAAATCCTTGTTCATTGGGTCCTGATGTGCGTGGCAGGCTGATGCTCAAATGAAGCCTTTTATTACTTTCCCCTGTTCCTAAGAAGAGAAGTGGCCTTACCTTGTCTTTAACATCCAAAGGGCATTTGTTCTCATGGAGAAATTTCAAGGTATCTACGTGGCCATGCCGAGAGGCCCAGTAGATGGCATTTGATCCACCCTGTATGAAAAAACATGGAGGCACATTTCCAGAAAGCTGATGGATCTGAATGCACGTCCCTCAGACACACCCGATTTCCCTTCCCATGTGATGGCAAACTCCCAAGAAGCAACTTCCATGAGTGAAAGTTTTTATTTTCCATTTTATTTTTTTATTTTTGCATAGGGACCGAGGTGATGTAAGCTGTTAATGTTCCAGGGAGCTGGAGGAAGGGGATAAAGGAGCTCTGTGTATTATCTTTGCATGTTGCGGGGCGGGGGTGGGTAAACCTTAAATTATTTCAAAATGACGAGTTGTTGTTTTTTTCTTAAAACCTTTATCTGAACTTCTGGTTAGAATTCCGTATATTGTCAAGGGCTAGATCTAGTCCTTTGACGGTTCTGTTGAAAGTCCATGGAAGCTGATGACAGAGCCATTGTAATGATTATCAGCTGTCAATCAATATGTCTATACTTTCAATGTGATTTATATCTCAAAGCACATCATCCTTCTCTGTGTTCCTAATAAACAAGCAGGCAAATACATTTCTGTTGAGATTAATTAGACAGTTAAAATCTTTCCAGATGTGACATCTTATAACACTGTTCAGTAAATGAGATCAGTGAGGAGAAGAATCTGGGATAGTGTACATACAGAGGCTAATATTCAAAAACAGAGCCCAGAAAAAGACTGATATTTTCCTCTTTATAACATATGTTAGATTGGACCAGGCTATTTAAGCAGTTCATCTTCCTTTATAGGAAACTGAAGTGGAATATATATATTATTTTCTGTTACCTCTAGGATTAGAAACATTTGGGAATGCTTAAAAAATTAACTTATTTGCAATAAAACAGAATTATGACCTTATCCTGGACATCAATTCTTGAGCCTCTTTTAATAAGCAACTGCAGCATCTGAATATTTCCACAGCCCGCAGCAATAAGTAGCGGAGGTGTCCCATGCTGGAATAGGCAAGAAAAAAATATAATTTTTCAGGTTTGGTAGGAAAGAAAAAGCCAAAACTATCATTGCTGTCCCACACACCTTCCTGTGTCTCAATAGGTGCCTAAAGACTGCCGCATAACAGGAATGGAAGACAGTCAGAACGCAGCGCCTTTCCTCTTTTGGAGTCACTATCAAAGGTGACATTTTCATTTGCAGGATGAGTAGATTTAAAATTTTGTGGTTAGAAGTGTAATTGGTACCTGAGGGATAGCCTTGCATGAAAAAAGGCCCTGAAAGCAAAAAGACCTTACTTATAAGTCACTTCACTCTCTAAAATAGAAGTTTTTTCACAGTATGGAGTTTGCACGTAGAAGGGAGAATGAAGAAGCAGTTGGGGTCTCTCCACTATGGACCTGAAGGTGCACAGCCAGCACGGCCACCCTCCACTATCCCTGACAGAAGAGCATCAGACCTTGTTGGGTTGGTTAACATCGTAGTTGGACAATGAGCCCAGGAGATGCTGCAGGCCTGGGACGTTGTCATCATTGATGGCATGGATGATGGCTTTCATCACAAAGGAGTCTTCCTCGTCCTTGAGAGAGACAGCAAAAAGATTGTTATAACACGTCCTCATGATCGGCAGGATATGGAGATGAATGAGAACCAAGGTCTGGGAGGAAGTCTTCCCACCTGCAGCTCCTATACCACCCTGGGTTCCTCTTCTACCTTAAACTTTTCTTGTAGTAAATGTAATTTCTCCCAACTGATTATTCAGGAAGATTTTAATGGACAATATTTATTCATTCTCATCATCTTACTTAGATGAATAGTTTTTATCTTTTCTTTGGTCCCGCTCTCAACCTCACGCAATTCCCAAATCCAGCCTTCCTCCTCTTCCTCTCCCTTCATCTAACTTGCTTCTTTCTCTCCCACTTCTTCTTCTCCTTCTCCTTCTTCTTCTTCTTCTTCTTTTTAACATTTCCTGTCTCTTCTTATTCTACAAGTCTGGAGCTCAAGCCTCAGGGAAACTACTGACTTCAGGGGGAAAAGAAAGAGCCGGTGTCTGCTGATACGTGATTTTACCCTTGGAATCCCTGGGTTCCACTCAGGAAATGCTGACTATTCAGTTACAGGAGTAGCCTGGTTCCCACAGAATCACCCTTTCTGCTTTTCCTGGAGTCCCCTTTACCTCCAGTGTTAACAAAGCCCCGTTGTCTAATTGTCTGGGGAAAGTCTTGTTGAATTCAAATATGTCTGGTCATATCTGAAGAGTTAATCTGTGATTAGGTTTCAGTTTGGATTAAGGGAAAAAAAATTATAGAGTTGTTTTCAAGGGCTTTGGACAGTCAACAATGACAACAAAACAGGTAGGTTTAGCCTTCTGGTTTACTACCAACTATACCAGCAAGCCCTACTGCATTTTCCTTAATTTTCTGGTGTGTATGTATGTTGAGTGGGAGGACTGTCTGACCCTTTTATACTATTACAATCCAGAAGTCTCCTAGGTCAGTGGCAACAGAAGACTCTCATATTATATGTTATTTATTTATATTTAGAGACAGGGGCAGGGAGGGAGAAAGAGAGGGAGAGAAACATCGATGTGTGACAGATACATCAGTCAGTTGGGACCTGGTCTGCAACCCAGGCAAGTGCACTGACTGGGAATTGAACTGGCAACCTTTCAGTTGCAGGCCGGCACTCAATCCACTGAGCCACACCGTCCAGGGATAGAAGGCACTCATTTTAGTTCATAAAAATTAAAATGAGAGCCCTTCCTTCTTCTACTGGCCAGCCTCACTTCTATCAAACTGTGTGTGTGGGAGGAGGTAAATGGTAGTGTTAGAAGAAGTAAGGTGGGAGTAGGTATAATGCCAATCCAAACACAAAGAAAAAGGGTGAAAGAAGCACTAGAGTACATCAAACCTGCCACTTCAACTTCCAATCCTGAGTAGAGGAAGGGTAGGCCTCACATTTACAGACTTCAGGTTTTCTGAGTTGTTGAACACATCAAACAACCTAGACATTCTGAGTCTACAGTGCTAAGACAGAACCTCACCAAGGCAAACACATTTGCTTACCAGAGTGTCATCGCTCCTGGCAACACTCATGTTACTTCTGGACAAGAACGACCTGGATAATCTTTGGCACAGTGATATCAAGCGAACGGATTGCTTTAAAGAAAGAAAAAAGAGGATAAATAAAGGCAGGGGGAGAGGAGGAGAGAGAGCTTATGATAACAATACTCAAACTGGTGCAAATGACAGCCTTTGAGATGGCATTCACTGCTGGTAGCATGTATTCTTCAGGGGCAGGCATGATGGATCATGCTTGCTTAAAGAATAATTCTACAGGCCTTACAAATCAAGACAACAGAAGAAAGAGAACGTCTCTGTCTGCTTTTCATTATTAAACTACAGAACTGGATTTCCGATATCCATTCCCTCTCGATATTTTGTTCTTTATTCTTTGAGGAATTAGATCTTACTCTAGCAAAACCGTGGCATGACCCTCCTCTGAGAAGCAGGGTATGCAATGGTCTCGCCCTGTGTCCTTGGTCCCAGGCAAGCTGGTAATGGTAGATAATGTGACTATTAAAGCTCATACAATTGTTTGAAATGAACAGGAAATAAACTTGTAAATCCCTCCATATCATAATCTTACTTTCCATTTTTTCCGGGCTGCAAACTTCTTGAATTTCTCCATGTTTACTGCTGATGCTTTTCTACTAAGTGCTTGTTGGGTATCTTTCGGCTAAAATGAAAGTCCAAGAAAAAAAAAATTAGACCTCTCAAATTACAGAAATGTCTTACATGACAACTTTTTGAGACCTTTCATTAGTTGGGATCCTTGCTCACACATTGACCTTGCTCAAATATCAAAATAAATTGAGATAATATGCAAGATCTAGGCACCTAGGGCTGTAGAGGCTGACACCTCTGGCTGAGGGTTTGGTATGATCTGTACAGATTGGATCTTGGGGAAAAGCTGAAAAGTTGAGCTTGGACCAACCTGAATCACAACTTTCCATAAGAGAGTTTGGGAATGGCAAGATGCACAGTGAGGCCATGTTATGAGACATTCGAACTTGAATATCATCAAGTAATTTAGAGCTGGGAGGGACCTCGGAGGTCAGTGAATTCAGCCTGTCTGATGGCATCAGAACGCCTTCTACCGCATCTTTTTCAGGAAGCCACGTAGCTCTGCCTCTGAGAGGAACAGACACCATCGACTTCTCGTGGAGATGAGAGAACTGCCAGGACCTTGAACAGGCAGAGTTCTCCAGCCGCCCCAAACCGACTTCTGTACTGCAGGTCGTCGCACCCCTGTCTGCTTACTGGTTCCATGATTTTATTCTGTAACTGCCACATTCCCCCACTCTTAGGCCCTTCTGTTCTAGCTGTAGGAACTTCAGGTCTTTTTTTTTTTTTTTAATTTTTTATAAAAGTTTATTTGAACTAAACTGATGCTGGGGAGAAAGATTTCAAATGCTCTGGAGAATGACCAATTCAGTTTCTTTGATGAAAAAATTAAGGACGATTACGTGATGATGGGCAAAAGCAAGGTGGGGATTAAATTACACGATAGCTAGAAGAGAGAAGATGTGGGCTCTCCTGAAGATGGTGCCCCCTTATTTCAAAGATGTGTTAACACAGATGCACAGCAACAATGGACAGGGCTTGCTTAAGGTAAAGATAAACCTTGTAATAAAAAAGGTGATATGCTTGGCAATGGGCAGCTGGCAGCTTGTCCCAGGCCAATCCCCTGAAGCTGTCCCCAAGGCCCTTTTCTCTGATTTCCCGGACAGCTAAGGCAGGCCAGCCTAGGCTCTCCTGTTGTTTCTTCTATGCTAAGCCTCTCCTTGTTTTACTGTCCCCAGCTTTAATAAATGCATCCTCACAGTCCACTGACCTCGCGCTGGGAAATCTCTCCTACATGAAGTCTAGGACCCACACACGATGTGCTGGCCCTAGGCAGACCAGCTCCAGGCCAGGCCCTGTCTGGTAACAATGTTTCTAGGATAAACCTCTCTCCACAGCCTGGGATAACTACTTTAGATTCACCAGATACACTGATTCTGCATCTTATTACAATAGATGCAGTCCTATAGAAGTATTTCTTTGCTCTCTGTTTAAAAACATCTAGAGGCAACTTTGCTTTCTAACATGTTGGTTCTTTTATTCTGCTCCTATGTACCTGTTAAAGCTATAATTTACAATATATAATATTTGATTAGTCAGAAAATTGAAGGACTACTGTTGGCTAATAAAATGGCCAGGTTAACTCAAAGAAGTAATGTATAAATACTTTCAAATTTTGTTATTGCATATCTTCCAAGAATTAGCCATGCTAATCCATTTATTAAGCAATAACTTAAAAAAATAAAGTTATATGCCTGTGGCATGACTACCCACTATGGCCTGCTCAGTTAAGAACTGGGGATCAGATCGCCCAGTGAGGTTACTTTCTGTGGGCTCCCTTTTCTTCATCCATGGTGACCTCGGTTCTTTAATCTAAATGCCAACAGGGAGGTAATGTAACGGTGTGGTATGCAAGGGGGTGGCCGCAGGCCCTGGCACAAAGGCAGCTGCGCCAAGTTTCTGGTGGCCTTGTGGGATGAGGGCTCAGTTTTGGAAGCTCTTCCAATTTTTCAAAAGAAGTTGGAAATCCAGGTTTGATATATTTAAACGCTGGAAATTAATTTTAAAAACATTTAAAAATATTGTTGGAGCTAACACCCCACAGGCCAAAACAAGTATTGAATAGGCTTGATCTTCAGCTCCCTGTGTATAGTCACCCCGAAATATGATAACTGTCTCTCCTCTCCACCTCCGTTATCATTAGCATACTTCCATCTGTTAGTTGTGTTAAAATAGGGCACCAGTAGCACACACAGTACTCCAGAGGTGGCCTGTGGTTAGGACCCACAGTTACTAGTAATAACCTAGAACAAACGGCTTTCAGGATGCCCTCTAATACCCAAGCCAGTCACAATATGCAACTTACCTTGATCCAGGGGTGCTGCAAACTATCTTGAATTGTCATTCTCTTCCTTTGTAAGGAGAGGGGAAAGAAAAAAAAAACACTGTGACCATAGAAGCAAACACTAATGTTGTTTCCATGCTGGCTGGGCCTATAAAACAGAACTTCTAGAAAATGCAGTTGGGGCCTGCTTCATGGAAGCGAGCTGAAAACGTCAGTCTTTGTATAGTTACTTCACTCTGCTTGCAGGACTGACTACGCAGGTACAAAGGACCCTGCCTGCGTTGTCTGAGGCACTTCTCACGGCACTTCCCTTTGCCAGGAGTGAACAGCCAGGTTCCTGTAGACATGGCCCTGTGCACAGGCCAGGGACTAACCCTCGTCTGGCTGAGGCCACGGCTGAGCACCTTTCGAGTAAAATAGACACTCACTTTGGATCCTTGACAAGCAGTCTTCTTATGAAATCTTTGGCTAGGGCACTGGTATTACTGAAGTATTCTTCCTCAAATTCATAGTTGACAGCGGATACATTTGCTAATGTTTCTTGCTTAGTGTCTCCGAGAAATGGCGAGGCCCCACTTAAGCTGTTAATAAAGTGGAGCACAGAACAGGAACAATTACCCCTGGTGTTGTCATTTCATTCCCATAATATCGGATAAGGGGAGTGAGGAATAAGATGATAATCTGGTGCTTGGACAATCTCTTTAGAATTCCATTATACTCTATAGGGCATTTTAATTGTCATGCACAAAAGCTTCAGCTGAATGCAAAGGATGCATTTAAAAAGTTAATTTGGAACAGCGTCTAGTTCGTAAAAAGAAAACCCTCCCCGATTTTCTCAGGGATGGACAGACATGCTTTCTTCCAGTGATTATGCTGCAGTTTCTGATGGCTCATTTTGAATTAGGAGAAAATGTTTGATTAGTATAAACTAAACGTGCTCTGGGGGTGTAAAATGAATGTTTACATAAAAAGCATGCATAATCTGAGGAGATCAACATGACTGATTAGTAAAACATATGGTCTCAAAGGAAGAGGGAAAGAATAAAAGTTGTGGATTTTGGTACTTACAGAATATAGGTGATTACCCCAATACTCCTAGACCCAAAACAGAAACAAAAACAAATGTCAGAAGAACAATATATTAAATCAGAAAAATGACAACATCAAGGGCGCATTACTTACCACATGTCTGCCTCAAGACCAAGAGGCTCATAGTTGACTATCTCAGGAGCTAAGAGGAAATAAATGCACATTTAGTTTTTGAAGGAAGCACACCAACAGATAGCATCTACACGTATAAACCAGAAACACGTACCAGAGAAATGATGCTACAGCAGGGGAAGATTTTACCAACATAATGTTTATGAGAAATAAATGACCAAAGGAGCAAAGAGACTTACCAACAAATTCTGGTGTCCCAAATATGTTTTTGAATTCATTTCCAAAGTCAATTTTATGGGCCAACCCGAAGTCGATGATCTTGATCCGAGGTTTGGGAACATTTCTATCCAAAAGCATTATGTTTTCGGGCTTAAAGAAAAAGAGAAATTAGTGCAGCAATGTTCATTGCAGCGATACGCATAATAATGGAAAAGTTGAAAAAACCCGGTGTCTATCAACAGAGGAGTGGATAAACAAAATGTGGTAGATACATATAAAGGAATATTACTCAGCCTTAGAAAGGAAGTAAATTCTGAAACACGACACAACGTGGCAGAACCTTAAAGACATTATGCTAACTGAAATAAGCCAGATAAAAACGGATAAATATTCTATGATTTCACTTGTATGAAGTGCTTGGAATGGGCAAATTCACAGAGACAAAAAGTAAAATGGTGGCTAGAGAAGATGGGGCTGGGGAAGGATGGGGAGTTCCTGTTCATTGGACACATATTTTAGTGTGGGAAGATCAGTAAGTTCTAGAAATGGATGGTGGTAATGGTTGCACAACAAAGTGAATACGCTAATGCCATGGAACTGCATACTTGAAGATGGTTAGAATGGTAAATTATACATTATCTTCATTTTACTATAATTAAAAAAACTAGCAGCCATGATATGCTGTGCTGAGGACAAGGTGGCTGAATAGTCCTTCCTCTCCCTTGAAAAAACAACTGAAAAATTGGTACAAAGAATACATGCAAGAAAACACCAGGAAAAGGAAATGTTTTGGTTTAGGTTCTCCCAGGAGTACACCTGTGACAGGGATTCAGGTGCAAGTGGCTTATGTGGGGGCCGCTTGGCAGAGAAATGGAGAGGCAAGAAATGGAAGGAAGCTGATGCAAGGTGTCTTATCAAGGTGGGATGACTGGAGTGCCATTCCTTTCAGGAACTTTCAGGACGCAGGAGGGAGTTAGGGTGTTTGTCAACCGCCTCTCCATCCTTCATTGCTAGGAGCTGCTTCTGTGGGCATTTACTCTTTGACGTTTCCAGCTCCCAGGGCAGAGGGCCGTGGGTATTTGCAACAGCAGTCTTTGGGGTATGTGTTAATGAGTGCTGGGGGGATCCAGATGGGGCTTTAACAGCTTCACTAGAATAAGTACGAATGAAATTCTTCGTCCTCTAAAGTTCTATCCTAGCTCCAATGATTTGAATCATTCACTTGGCAACTGCTTACACGCTGCTCTGTGACAGTCTTTTCACTGCCTTGGATTGTATCTTGAATCTTAACATTGTCACTCCCTGTTGCTGCTCATGGGTGCCTTACCTTCCCAGATACCAGAACCTCTGTGATGGTTGGGAGTATGTCATTTTCTCCCATAATGCCCTGCCTCCAGCCAGGCATGATCCCACTTAGCCGGTCTCAGAGTTTGGCTTGATTGATAGCTGGTGACAAGAGTCAGGCCCATAGCCTTTGCATCAAGAGGAAGAGTAGAGATCAAGGCACCTTTTATCTTACATGCCCTGCAGCCACAGGGGGATAGTGACCAGGAAGACAGAGGGCACTCCAGGCTGACAATGTCCCATCACCAACCGCAGCTCCCTTGCTTAAAGACCTGGCTGGTAAGACCCTCGAGTTTCCTTAGGGATTCTAGAATGTAATCATCAATCTTAAGCCTCTATTCCATAGAAAGCTTGCAGTTTCTGCAGGAGGCATGCATTATACACTTGCTAATCTACAGGGATAATTCCATTTGCTAAACCCACAGGAACGACACAAGTTATCTCTTACAAATGTCTCAAACTTTCTTAGCAAACAAACAGCCAATGCAGCCAATGGAAGCCAATGCTGTGGTTTCCATCAGCTTCTATCTAGCTAACACTCAGCAACATACCTTGAGATCAAAGTGGGCAATCTGAAGGGAGTGCAGGTAGTAAACACCATTAAGAATTTGTTTGAGAAATTCGGTTGCTTCCTCTTCAGTCAAAGATTCCTTTTCCGCTAAGAAGTCAAACAGCTCCCCGCCTGCAACACTGGAAACCAAGAAGCAGAGGTTATTGATGACAATTCTGTTTCATGTTGAGCTACTCTCTCATAGACTATTGGTGCACTCAAATTTCAGGCAAGAGAAGAGCATAAGGATGTGCTAAGCACAGAATCAGAATTCTCCATGCTCCCAATCACTGGATGAGAAATCTGCATTCAGGTACATTTGTGTGGAAGCACTTGGGTACCATTTTCCTAATAGTGCTATGTTCACAAATGAGGGGAAGATGCAGAGACATGATGGGGGGAAAAATCAATGTAACCTTAAAACATTTTAATTAAACATAGTTGGAGGTAAAGTCTTAAGTCACTGACTAAGAAACAAAATGAGCCAACCTCGTATAGAATTTATTAAAAATACATCTTCCTAGCTCACTCAGCGAGTACCTGGAAAGTTCATATCTGTATGTTAACCAATTTTTTAAAACCTCAAATCACAATATATAGCCTGATAAGAATTTTTTCTTTTGTATTTGTTTATATGTAAATCCCTATATATTTATAAAAACCGTATTTAGTAATGAATTTAACAAATACCTGAACTAGTAAGAAAAAACTTACACAAAATTGAAATGCACTCGGTTGTTGAAGATGTCCTCCAGCCCCCGGCCGGCCGGACTGCAGGTGCCGCGAGGGCGGAGGCCGACCCCGGCGGTACCGCCCCCCGCACCCCCCTGCCCCGCCCCCGGCCCCGCTCCCCACACAGTGCCAGCCACCCAGCCACAGCGCGAGAGCGCACGACATTGTTATCAAGAGGATAAATGAACGAACTCCCTTGATTAATCGCAAATAACAGGGAACTTTTAATAAGACTTTTTATAAGTTAATGTTTATTGTTTAACCATACATCCACAACATAATAATTAACTGCAATTATGCACATAACCGCTGTGTTCAGTATCTTTCTTTCGGCAAGACAGCTCCATAAACATTATACCTACATCTACAATGGGTGCTATGAGATTAAACAATGACAACAGAAAAAAAAAAAGCTGTTTTTTTAAAGAAAAGTTTCAGAGTCCTCCCCTTTACCCTCCAAGTCAGTATTGTTCTTAGCCTGGTCCAGGGTCCGTGGGATCAGACTTGCTTGGGGTGTTTCAACAACGCAGACTTGGCGCCTTATTTCCAAACTGCGGCCTGAGAATTTCTGGGTGGGGATGAGGAAACGCAGCATTTTTAAGCAAGCACCTCAGGTGACTGTTTGCACACTAAAAACTGAGGACCCTTTTTCAAAGTCGTAATTGCCTGCCTCTGTGGCAAGGCCTCCCTCTGATATTTAACTCTGGGATATTTATTCAGAGGTCTATGTGACTCCTCCACCCTGGGGCCCAGGCAGAGGGTTCTGGCAGGTCTGCGCGTGTCCCAGCCAGAGCCAGCCAGGGAGGCCAGGAGCCCGCCGTGGCACAGGCCTGGAGTTGGCGACACTCCTGGGGTGTCTGCAGCCTCTGGGTCTCGCTGCCCTCCCCTCTCCCCTCTCCACAGTGCACGTGCCCAGCGCTGGCTCCCACGCAATCCCGTGAACCCTCTGCTTCTCACTTTTCTATGTTCTTCCTTCTCTTACAACCAACAATAACAAAGAGCAAATCCTTCAACCATAAGAAACAAAATGGAGGAAACATGGGAAATTGTCACCCGACCAATGCTGAGACAGATGCTGCAGCATGTTTGCTTCTGTGCCCCCTGGCGCCGGCGGCCAGCACTTAAGGTGACCACAGCACTGTGGGCCCCCCACTGGCCCATCGGCTCAAATCTTAATTTTGCAGCCAGAAGGTCAGTCCTTCCCTCTGAGCCTCATTTTTCTCACCACATGGGAATAATAGGAGCTATTTGTTTCAGGGTTTTGAGGTTTAAAGATAATATTCATAAAACAACTGGCAGACAGGTCTGGCAGGAGGCTGTGGCCCAGCGGTGGGACTGGTGCTATAATAAAGGAAGGAAGCTCCTTCCTGCAGAGTGCCCCCCCCACCCCCCACCCGCCCCGCAGGCTCCAATGTGAAACCCAGTCCCGCTTCTTCCCTCTCCCCTGGCTCCTGTCCATTGGGGTGGCCAGACCCTGCAGTCCGGGAGGGGCTTCTCCTGTGACTGGTGCCCCGTCCCAGCTTCTCCGCTCCCCATCCCCCTCCCCTCCAGGGCCTTGAACACGCACCCTCGCTCCCACAGGCTGCTGGTTTCCTGACCCGAAGAAACAACCGGGGCTGGCTGCCTGGAGTTGGGGAGAATCTGAGAGCATCCAAACAGCTTGGTTCAGTGTGGAGGCCCAAGTCCTTCCTAGGAACCCCACAGCTGCCCCAGGCCAGGCCTTTGCTCTCTTTTGTGGCCGACATGGCCACCTCTTGTCCCCCTATTCAGTCTTCTTGTGCTGAGCAACTCCAGCAGAGCTTCCTGACCACGTAAGTGAGAACCAGGAACAACCCTGGGGCCCCCAAGTGAGGGGCCAGCCTGTGAGGGGTCAGTGCCTGATCAAAACTGACAGAAAGGAGGCGCGGGGCATCTTTAGTTTTCTCCATCAACCCTGCTCGCAGGTCCTGTTCGGGTCTCATGTTGTTCATGATGAGGTCCCCATCATCTCTTGTCCAGGAGGCCAAATCATCCAGCTAGACCTCAGGAGGGTTAGGGGAGCCCTCATCTCACTGGTCTTGGAGAACACCCTACACACATACGCATCCTCCTTCACACCAATATGGGAAGGCAGATGTTTCAGCTGTGAACCTCTGCTTATAAAATCTTTAGTTAACAATCAAAGTAAGTGGGCTCTGGCTGGTGTGGCTCAGTGGATTGACTGCCAGCCTGTGAACCAAAGGGTCACGGGTTGATTCCCAGTCAGGGCATCTGCCTGGGTTGCCAGTCAGGTTCCCAGTAGAGGGCGCATGAGAGGCAACCACACATTGATGTTTCTCTCCCTCTCTTTTCTCTCTCCCTTCCCCTCTCTAAAAATAAATAAAGACACTCTTAAAAAAAAAGTGAGTGATTTTAACCAGGGTTTGGGGAGCATGACAAGCATCTTTGACAATTTACCCCCTGTTTAGCACAGCCCCTCCCCTCAATCTCAGAAGGTAGAAAGTGACCTGAAGGTTTTTTTCACGTAGGTCCTTTCACATACATGCTCGGAACCAGAACGCAAATGCTTACAACGTTGTTGCTGAAGAGCCAAATAATGTTAACACGGTGATCGGGCAACCCTTGGCACTTTCTTTCACTCTTTGTTCCAAATTTTACATTTTGTTTAAGAGAAGGAAGATTGATGGAGTGGGAGAGAGATGAGCAATCTGTGCAGCAAATTTAGAAAGTAAGTCTAACCTCCTTTATTAGGTCTTTGAGTCAGAGTGTTTTAAATTATAGCATTATCATGGAAATTATGTGAAATGAATGCTAATAAGCATTGGCTGTTTTTGCCAAGAGAGCTGGAAAATAGGAAGTTTCCCTCTCCTCCCGTTCCTCTCCCTCCCACCGCTGCCTCCCCAAGAGCTAGCCGTAACAGAGTGTAATTAGGGCACATTACAGCTTTAAAAACAAAGTGGGCCTTCAGAGTGACATAAGAGGAATTATCACAGGACTCCAATTTCTAAAATAAAACACTATTTGGGGTTCCTAAGCCTTGCTAGGAATTGTGCAAAACATAACAGGACTTGATTCTGGACTGGGTCTGGTCATAACGGAAACTTTAGGAGACTCTTGGCTACAAGAGGAGCCATTTCAAGGCAAACGTGATTCTTTAGTGTTGGGCTCAATTTCCCCACTCGGTGTCCCGGGGCACGTATGTGTGGTTGGTAAACTGGGGGCCCCTGGGACAAGTCAGGAAGCAAGTATGCTCTGCCGGGGCACACCCTCATGCGCGCCCTGGCTGCTAAGGCACTGAACCCTGGGAGGCAGGCTGGCAGGAGGACTGGCGGGGCCTCAGCACACAGGCCCCCGCCTCCAGCCCTGGCCTCGGGCTGAAAAGAAATTACGGAAGTCGCGTCCCTTCTCTGGACCTCAACTTTGCTATTGGTATAATAAAAGGGTTGGACAACTGGGTAAAGTGACTTTTTAAATAACCTTAGTGTACATAAAAATAATTGGGAGAATTCGCTAAAAATGCAATTTTTTAGAACCCACTTACTGAGGTTCGGACTCGGCAGGTGGGGCCACAGGACCTGCACTGTAACAATCACTTGGGTGATTCTGATGCTGACGGACCACACCGAGAGACGCTGATCTCTCAGGTGTGACTATTTCAGGTTCACAGGCCCGTGAGTGGGTGTGGCGGATCTGTTGCTATGCTCCCACCAAACTTACCTTTGCCTCCTAGATGCAGAGCGAATCTGCACTCCCCAGTCCCCTGGATTCCAGGAGTAGTTCGAGCCAATGGAACGTGAACCAAAATGACGTGTGTCACCTTCAGGACCGGCTCCTGACACATCCTGCACAATCCTGCACTCTCTCCCTCTTCTCTCTTTGGCCACCTGAATACAGGTGACCCAGCAGAGGCCCCAAAGGGAGACCAGGGGACAGCAGAGATATTAGACAGCAGAGAATATGGATCCCCGAGTCACTGCCGGAGGGATGAGCCACCCCACCTGTAACATCCACACTGGACTCTGAGCAAGTGAGAAATAAATCCTATCATGTTAAGCCACTGAGATTTTGTGGTTGTGTTCCCTCTGCTCTATATACAAATTTATTTAATTGGATGTAATAAAATAATACATTTTTAAAATTATAATTAAAGAAAAGCAACCAATGCAAAGCACAGAGTACACTGTTTTAGTTTTCTATTGTTGTGTAACAGATTTAGTGGCTTTAAACATGACAATTGTTTTTTAACCTCTTAAGGTTTCTGTGGATCAGGAATCCAGGAAGGGTTGGCTGGGCAGCTCTGGCTCAGGGTCTGTCATGGGGGTACCATCAGACGGTGGCTGAATCTGAACCTGTAGAATTGTTGGAGCATCTAGAAGCGGCCTGGGCATCTCTCTCCAGGTGGTCTCAGGTCTCCATTTGGCCCAGCCGG